CTGCCTCGCCTGGGAAAAGCGCAATGATGGTGTCAACTTGGGCCAGTGAAGCAACGTCCTCCACAACTAGACTGAAGAACAAAATGACAGCAACTTGTCTGTTCCCCTTCCCCCAATTCCCCAGCACTGTTCCCATCCCCCCAATTCCCCAATAAAAAAAAATCTAAAAAGAAAAAAAAAATGATATCCAAAATAAATAGGTGAAATCATTTATAAGGCAAAAGCCAAATATTAATAATTATCTGATGGTTTTCCAATTAATTAAAATATGAACTGAACACAGTTCTCACGGAATGGGGTGTTTTCTCTGCTTAGTCAATTTCCTAGCAAGAAAAATAAAACTTTGTTTTTGTTTAACCCTTAACCAAAATATTTTAGACCACATTACATAAGTTGACATTTCTGCGTAAGCAAAATAGAGTGTTGGGAAATCAAACATGAAAAATATGGCTTATGCTCATGAGGACCTTATAGTTTAGTGGAAAGAAAGGCATAAATAATGATACTATAGTAGCTGCAATTGAATTATGTACAAAGTAAACTGAGGAGCATATTTGAATATGAGGATAGAAGGAACATATGAGCTCCAAGCCAATCAGGAAAATCTTCCCAAATCAGATGAAATTTGACTAGAGACAGTAAGAATGAGTAAGTTTAACAAGTGGATAAGCGGACAGACAACTGTCTAAGCAGAGGGCACAGAACGTACAAAAACCCAGAGACATCAAAAAACATAGTATCTTTGCGTGGGGGGGAAGGGGACCAAGTTGGTAGGAAAAGGGGTTTGAGTCGATTTAAGGTCTCCTATTACATATCTTTTATTCTAATCAATAAGTTTTTTTTAATTATTAGTTTCCATAGTATCCCTGTAAGCACTGGCTTTATTCTACTTTATTTTTTGCCAATTTTTATAAACATATAAGATACACATAGAAAAGTACACAACTCACAGAAATGTACAGCTCAGTCTGAGCATACATGTGCAAATGCAATCCAGGGCAAGAAATAGAGTGCTATTAGCATCCAGGAGCTACCTTCATGCCACCTAAGTACTAACCATCCACCACCCGACAGCCCCTTTTGTAGGTAAACAATACCCTGATTTCTAATATCAACTAGTTTTGCCTCTTTTTGAAATTTCTATAAATGAAATACAGCACATATCCTTTTGTGTCTAGTTTCTTTCTCTCTTTCCCTCAAGATTATGTTTGTGAAATTCATCCATATCATATATAGTGATACTCTGTTCACTTACAATGCAGTGTAATATTCCATTGTATGAATATATCACCATTTATTTATCCATTGCACTATTGATAGACATTTGGATTGTTTTCTGTTTGGAACTTCTGAGAATATTGGTGCTGTAAACATTCTTGTACCTATAGTCTGTAGAACATGTGTGCTCATTTCTGCTGGGCTTATATTGGAGAATGGGTTTGCTGGGTCATTAGATTGAACAAAGCGGTTGTGCAGATTTAGACTCAAACCAGCAGTATATGAGATTTCATGTGCTCCATACTCTCACCCACACTGGAAATTTTGATCTTCATCTGCTCAGTGTGTAGTCATTTCTCATTGTGGTTTTAATTTGCGTGTCCTTGATGCTCACATTTCCATATGCTTTTTGGTCATTAGGATATACTCATTATTATGCATGCTATTTTAAGGATACTTGGCAGGACCTTTCAGCCACCATCATTGTCACCTGACAAAGATAAGTGTAGGAGGTAGGAACTGCTGAAGAACAGTCAATGACATTATGTCTTCAAACAAAGACAAGGGACGGTCCAGTCGTGCGTTGGTTAAGAACTGGCTTGGGATGCCAGAGGGCCCTGGTTCGGATCTCACATGTGAGGGCCAGTGACACTGCCCTCTGCAGCTAAGATGCTGAACAACAGCTCGACCTGGAGCTGGGCTGCCATGAGTCGCCGGCGACGGCAGGTGGGTTGCCAGCAGTCAGCGTGAGCGACCAGCCGCTCACTGCCAGCTTGGGCCAGTGAAGCGACATCCTCCACAACTAGACTGAAGAACAAAACGACAGCAACTTGTCTGTTCCCCTTCCCCTGACTCCCCAATAAAATCTTTAAAAAAAAAAAAGACAAATAATTTACTTATTTCTCCATTCTTCTGCTCTACTCATCTTCATTGTCCTTTTATTCTATTCTATTGATTGACCCTGCCTTTCTTCTTTACTTCTATTTGTTCAGTCCAAAAAAGTCAATAAAATAAAGTCAATTAACAATGCCCAAGTACTTTATAGAGAGTTCAATAGTTCAATAACAAGTTTGCATTAGAGACCCAGCCTTCTTACTTTAGGATTGTCGAATATTTGAGGTTTGTTTTTTGTTCATAAATTAAAAAAGCAAGCATGCCTGACAATTTATTTGAAAATAAATGGATCATTCATTAAATTTTAATAGGATAAATCTAAATGTCTCTTTTCCAATTTATGAACAGATAATGTTCAATGAGCATTGTAAAGGAATATCAGAAGAAAAATGGGAGAAAAAAACAGTACATGTTGTAAAAAGAGACCAGTAAAGAAGAATTTACACACAGGTGCTTTCTTTCACCTTCTCTGAAGACTAAACACAAGTTACATTTGGCAAAAATAAAGTGGCCGTGACCTTTTTCCCTCCTCTGCATGATTAATTACTTAATGTCCTATTAATTGGAAGATGTGGCTGAATTTCAAACACTTTCATTTTCTGTGCATATCATCCGGTACTGTAACTACCGATTAAGCTGTTCATCAAAGGTGAGCCAACAAGGTCATCTGAGCAGTATCTCTTCAGCTACTCATTACCCATCTTCAGTGGTAATTAACAATCGCAACATTTCCATAAATCAACATCTTTCTGATTATTCTTTGATGATAAACAGTCAAAATGTGTGCATTCCAGCCCACCCCTTTTAATTTTATATAAAATATTCGGTCTAAATATACCACAGAAAAAAACTCAGGTGAATGTTACAAGAGTTTCTTTAATTAACATGTACCAGAAAAATAAGGTTATGTAACTTTGAAAGAAAGGTACAAACCGATACACAAAACTAAATGAGTCTGCTGAGAACACAGGGGTCAAAAATATAAGAAGCAAAAGTTATCAGCCACCTACTATCAATTTATTCCTCTGGCGAGAAAATTATGCCTCAGTTCAGCTTCACAAATAACCATTTGCCTACTCAGTCATGGAAAAGTGACAATTTAGAATAGAAAGCAGATTTACTTTGCCCTACTCTCAAAGAACACTTCACCAGGTAGATCAATTTAAAAAACTTTCCAAAGGATATATTTACTATATCCATTTATAAATCATACTTTGGAAATATAACCTTTAGGTTTCATTGATTTTGGGTACTTTGTGGTGCGTTGTTTATTGTTGATATTTTTTTTATATCATATTATTTAGAAACTTCAGGGTGGTGTTGATAAAGATTATCTTAAAATAATCATACTAAAAATACTGAAAATATGTTTTAAAACTGAAATTATTAGTAATAGGAAATCAGCCCATGAATTATGTATGATTATATATTACAGTAGATAATTGTATAGTATTGTATAGTATACTAATATAGTATATTGTTATTTATTATTAATATATTGTGTTGTGGGGGGTCTGGAACAAATCACCCCCAAGATGTGACTCTGTGGTATGCAAATTCTTTTGAGCTAAAGGCAACTTTATCCATAGGCTCAAAACAAACTCCTGCACCTCTGTTAACTACCTAGAAGAACTTAACCACCATAAGAGATTATCAAAGATAACCTCTTTTGACCTATCTAGAGGGCAAGACAAACTTCCATTTACTAAGTATCTACTCTACTTATAATCCTGCAATGAATGACCCTTTGAAGAGCCCGAGGCACCTTACTTAATCCCTAGCTCAGGGTGGTTTATATACCTGTGTTCCTTTCTATCTCTGAACCTCTCCATGCATGTGGGGTCTCTGATTCTCTCATGCATGTGGGATTCCTGTACATACGTTAAGTATCAAATTTGGTTCTTTTCTCTTGCTAATCTATCTGGTGTCTATTTAATTATTAGGCCAGCCAGAAAAAACCTGAGGGTAGAGGAAAGTTTATTCCTCCCCCAGAGTATATTATATACACATGATTGTATATAATACATAAATTATATCACAGTTATTTATTTCTTTTCTCGTTTAGTACATTATTTTACAATTCTGTTTGCATTTTCAATTTTTATGATGAATAAGTATTGTTAAACATATATACATGGGGCTGGTATTAGTTTCAAATATGGAGAATTGAAGTCACAACTTAGTTTGATAGTACATGAAATGATATGTACATATCAATATCCTATATTAAGAGAAAACACAATTCAAACTGGCTTAAACAATAAGAAAATATATAATTTCACAAAATCAAAAACCAAAGGATTTAACAAGGTCAGGGTAAAGAATAAACAGGACTCAGCCCTATTTTTCCACAGTTCGCTCAGAAAAGACCTTCTCTGTTTGAGAATTTTATCTCCAGGCTGCCTCTCCTCAGGGCCATTGGCATGCTCATGGCTAGAGGGACAGTGAGATAAGCTCTCTCCCCATCATGGAGTAAAAGTCCTTCCCTTCAGTCTGACTGGATCAAACCTGTATAAGTACTAAGTGAGCTGATCCCACATTTTAGATTATTTTGAAAAGATAGTTTGTTCTTCATTTTATTATTATTTTTTTAACTTTTTGGTTTCATTTCCATTTGCCTTTTTTATAAAATATGAGGGAAAAAACAAAAACACTAATATTTTTCCAAAGTCAGAGATAACAAAGATATAGTGAGTATTCTTGAAGAATATTAGGATTAAAGAAAGTTATTGAGGGAAAAGCAAGGAGTATATTAAGGCTCTCATAGATGTGATGGAGTAGTTTGACCATAGTAGTTTATTGTAACAATAAAGTATTGTGTAAAATTAGAAAATGCTATCTCTTCCAAAGTGATTCCCTCAACACTGCATACACAGAACGGGTCTTACCTTGAGGCATCTCAGGTGGCAGGTAATGAGGTTCTTGAGCACTAACATGGACCCACTCAAAGTCATCATACAGATCCTGGTGGTAGTCACAGGCCCCGGGACCATCATCAAAAGTACAGCCACCTAAAGTGGAAGAGAAGAACCGCCATTACATTCTAAACAGGTACACTAAAAATGGGGCACTGTGTTGGAGAAGGAAAAGGTATATTGAAATATGTAATGTGGTACTCATAATTTTAATGATAAATAGTCCTCCTTTTTATCACTATTCCTGTTAAATTTTCACATGAAATGAAATTTCCATCAGTAGTTTCTGTTTGAATAAGAAACCAATTGGAGCCTAAGAAGGAAGCCTGAGGAACAGATTTTAAAATATTAAAAATAATAGGGGATACATGCATAGTGAGGCATTCCTGAAATTTACAAACCACACAATCTAAAGAGTTTTTAACCACTTTATTTAGTAGGGATAAGAGGAGGAAGGAAAAGCGTGAAAATGGTCTTCTTCCATAATGCAAGTTCCAAAAGGTGAAGCTAATACTTAAATCTTATTAAATTCCTTGGTTTAAAAGAACACTTTAAAATCTACTTATAATAGCAAATAAAACAAACGAAGCTTTACAGGTGTTTAAGGTCAGTAACACACTCTTCAATAGTTTATTTAGATGAATTTCATACACAAGTCTGACTCTCAATAGGAGGGGAAAAGCTGAAGCATAAAACCGATCTGATTAGCCTATAGTCACTCTCACCATTTCCACTTTATTTAATAACCTCTTTTAAAAAAACAAAAAATGGAGGTAGCCATTCCTCTTTAGATCAGTCATTTTCCCTGGCTTTATTTTTCAGGAGGAATTTTATGGCAGAGGTAGAAAATTAGTTTTGCTTCTCAGCCTACATATATACAGGCACACACAACTCAACATATTTAGTTTATTCAAATCATGAAAATAAGAAATGGCCTTTATGTCTAATCCTGAAAGAAAATGGATTACAACTAATGAAAATCTAGCAGTGGGTTTAATGAGAAAAACCAATACCCTGTCTCCTTTCAAGTAGCTTATTTGTTTAGTTTCCATGGGGAATCTTTGTGCAGAGACTCAGTGAATTCTGTGACCAAACAGCAGGCTAAGGGGTGGTAAACTTCAGTCATATAAATTATTCTCTGTAAACAAGGAATTCATTTTCCTCATCAAAAGTTTGTCAATTTGAATATGGAAAAAAAAAACCTATATTCCTCACGAATGACAGACACCAGCTAGCATCACAGGCAAAGGAGGGGTCAGAGATGTCCAGATGACACCACAGCCCTAAGATCTTTTTCAAAAGCAGAATATGTATGTGGAGATTCTTGAATCACTCATGTGACTACATGAATCCTTTAAAATTACCAAACTTCAGCAGCTTGAAAGCTTAATACTCTCCTTTTAAAATGTCTAAAATAGCCTTTCTATAAATGCTGTCATAAAAAAAGATGTATTTTTAATTTAAAATTAATCAATGAAAAGAGCTTGCTAGGAAATGTATCTCAGATAGCAAGGGGGAAGTTTGTCTCAAAATATAATTTGCTATAAACCCTAAAATGACTTATTGCTTTGCAACACATGCCTTCAAGGGCCCTCAGTTGCCCTTTATAATAGCATGAGTGCCCTCAGTATATAAATTTAAACTACCAGTGGAACCTACATTGGCTCATTTGGAAGACAAATGGCCTTAATTGCTGTCCTTCATAGCCACTGTTAATTTTAGACTCCAAGATTCTGATTAGCAATAACAACTAGTAGTAGTTATATAAAATAAGTGGGTCAACCCCTACTATTTGCTGCACATCACTGCCCTATCTGTCAAGAGTCTTGAGAATAGTTCTTGGTCCATTTGAGTTGAGTGTTAAAAGGTAATTGTTAAAAGGTAATTTTTAACTTTACAGTTTCAAATAAGTTCTAATCTAAGAGAAGCCATATATCTATTTACCACATACACAGCATATCAATAAATCTTTGGTAAAAGGTTTTTAAAAGTCTTTTTGTATTTTGAATTTCAAGATTAAAGACTAATACAGTGTACTGAACTAGATGACAAAAAACACAAAAAAAAATACTGTTCCTTTTCTGAGTAATGGCATAGACAGACATGGGGATATACATATACATATACATATACATATACATATACATATACATATACATATACACATATACACACTACAGTGCGTTATAAAGAATAATAACAGTATAACTAAAGTCACAAAGAACACAAATGGCAAGTGAATTGACTACCTATATCCAGGGTGGTTAGAAAAGGCTTCATGGAGTTAAGACTATGAGGATGAGTAAGAATGCACCAGACCAGAATGGAAAAAAACTGAAATTAGGGGCCGGTCGAGTGGCTCAGTTGGTTAAGAGCTCGCTCAAGAGTTTGCGCTCTGAGCAACAGCGGTTCGAGTCCTGGCCCGAGCTGAGCAGTCGCTGAGCGGCCAACAGGTGGCAGGATGGCTCAGCTTAAAAAAAAAAACACCAAAAAACTGAAGTTACAGAAAAAACAAGAGCAAAGGGATAGAAGTGTTCAGAAACATGGTATGTTGATGAAACTCAAATTCTGAAAAATTTCTGTAATGAGCATGAAAACAAGTATGTAGGCGATGAGGCAGAAACAAAACTAAATAGGAAAGATTTTAGACATAAAGTGTTTAGATATGTTATTCTTTAGTTGTAGGGAAGCCATCAAAGGATTTTATCCAAGAGTAGGACACAATTCAAGCCACATTTAAAAACTAATAATAATAAAAGTCATAATAATAGCAATTCTTACAGCCATATATAGAGTTTAAAGAGGAATTGGGGGAAAATGGAAGTAGATAATTTGGTTCAACCTTACAACAGTTAGCACACAATATACCTTGAGTTATTTCCATTATATACAATCCTCATTCACCATTTAAGTCTCACTAGAAAGCCTTAAATACAAGTCTGTAACACATAATCTTCTATATACATGTTCCTGAGTTTAAGACATCTTGCTACATAGTATTATAATCTCTTTAAACGAGAAAAATCTTAGCAAGTTTCTAATTCACACATAAAAACATAACTCATGAATGTAAAGTTTCACTGAATTAGACGGCAGAGCAAAAGGACACAATACTGAAACAATGTTCAAGAAATTTAGTTAGCAGAGGGCATGAAAAATGAGCAAGGAAACATCTTACATGTTCAGTGTGGTATTTGATACTGGTGATAAGACTAAAGCAAGTAGCTGCAAATCATGTCAGAAAAATGGTGACAGCAAGTTCCTGGACTCTTAGAGGAAAATTACTTCTGAAGAGCCATTTCATAGATTGCTAATTCCTCTATGCCAACCATTCAGCTGAGAGACACATCTGTCACTGCAATGGTGCTGCCAGAAGGCAGGCCACTTAGGAGGATTTGCAAGCTATTTACCTGACAATACAAAATCAGGTTAATGCGGACTTGCCAGAATTTCTTTCCACTCCTGAGCTGTTCACTGAAAGGACTATACTAAGAAATATTAGGTACTGGCTTCCCCAAAAAAAGTATTGCTAACCCCAAAACTATATTGCCTAAAAATCTAGCATTTAGAGATTCTTGGGTGCCTATTTAAATAGCCGGTGGTACGAGAGATTATGGAAAAAAGAGACCCTTTCTGTAAATTCACAAAAGAATGAATATTAAACTCAAACCCTGTGTGCACTCAAACTTTTCAATAAAATGCAAGGTCAGGTTGATTGAGAACAAAGTTGAGCTGGAGAAAACACGGGGTCAGTAGGGCCCTGGAAAGCTCTGAACATTGTGTGAAGGACAGTCTTTTAGAAGATGTTGTCCTAGGATCTTGCACAGTCTCCCCTCCTGGACACCTATGCTGTCTTAATTTTCTGACTGAGTATAATAGCAAGAAACATACAGAATCATCTTTTATGGTTCTTTGCTGTTTATAAAAAACAAGGTTCATTCAGCTAAAGATACAGATAGTTTTTTTTACGTTCTTTAATAGTTTGGAATATAGAGTTTTAAAAAGAACAGTCTTGGACAAAATACGCTGGCAAACATAATATCCTTAGCACCATTGATTTAGGACCCTCAAAAATGGACAAATTCATCTTTTCCAATTGTGAATCAAGCTATAATACACAGATTTGCTTGGGTAAGTGATCAACAATTTTGGAATGTTCCTTATCCTATCAAGGACACAAAGAAAGGCTACTATATGCCCCATCAGGACACAAGCATACTGAAATAAACTCACTATGAATAGGTTAGCTTTATCTAGACTAATCAGAAACCATAATATAAGTTTACTGGTATAATCCCCAAAACCCATTACGAAGACGCCAATACATTTCACACAAAAAATTGCAAAAGAACAACAACAACAAAAAAAAAAACCTTATTACTGTTCAAAAGAACAAAAAAGAAACTTATTACTGGATATCTTAAATGTAATTTCATCTATAATCTGAGTTAATATAGTCTATTCCCAAAAAAGCAGGCTATTGGGAAAAGTGTAAAAATTGATGCTTTTAAATAAAGTTCATATTTCTTCTGAAATCTACTGGGGTATCCATGTATATATATATATATTTTTTTCTTTTCAATTTTACACTTCTGGGAATACTGAAGGTACAAAATCAGAATTGACATATTGTGATCAATGTCTATGTAGTTTTACATCAGCTCTAAGGCTAGGCAATACTTTTTCTCAATTTAAGTGCTGAAATTCAAATCGGGAAAAATACCCAAGTAGACACAAAGGACAAATGCCTTTGAGGGCATAAGTATGAGTCACTGGTCATAATACATCACTTGGTTTCAATACCAAAGAGGATCTACTGAAGAAAAATAAGAAAATTTATGAAAAGAGTTCCTTAAAAGATAATCATTTTAAGTCCAGAAATAAATCCTTTGCCCTGCTTGTAGTCAATTAGTATGTGAAAGTATTATTTGAGCTTAGCTCCTTCATAAAGGAAAGGGATCGGAAACACATGTGTGAAAGTCTGAGCCTGTCATTATTGATAGATACAAATGTACCTTAATGATGAGAAATGAACTCATTTCAAACACACCCATAAATTATCTAACTGTTCATCCCTAGAGTTCCATTTCCAGTCA